GAGACATCCCCTTTCCCTGCATGGGTCACTGTTGGGGCCAGGTCAGCTCTGGGAACCTCCCTTGGCTACCAGAAGCTCCACAGCTGCTGACTGGGAGCTAAGCTCTTAAAGGTATTGCCACCAGCAGCAGCGCAGAAGTGAGGGTGGCTTGGTATGGTACTGCCACTCTTCATTGCTGCTGCTAGCAGGGGCACAGAACTAAGGGTGGCAACACCATACCCAGGCCCCCTCTTTTCTGCACTGCTGCTGCTGCTGGTGTAACCTTCTGAGGTGGTCACCCAACCAGCAGCTGCCCTTTGGCTGCCCAGCTCTGAACACAGCAGCAGATGAGACCCTCTGATTTACAGTACTGCAATTTCTGATTTAAATATATGAAACCATGAAATTTACAATTTTAAAATTTCTATGACTATGAAATTGACTCAAGTGGACTGTGAGTTTGGTAGGGCCCTCTTCATACATTCTGTGTGTTTGAGGAGGGTGATGATGATGATGATATGTCCTCTGTTGTCATTCACTAGAAGAGTGCGCAGATTGGCCTCCTTCTGCATTCATTTGCCAGTAACAGAACTAACATTCAGTTCCATTAATTTTAGCCAAAATGGAATGCAGAGTCTGGAAAAAAAAATAGAACCTCCTCTGAAAGCAGCGCTGTCTGTAGGATGACAAGCTGTGTAAAGTGAGCTTTCAAAGGAAAGCTAATATCACTTTGTAATGCTGATATTTTGCTGAGTTATTTATTTTATGACAAAAATTCATTGTGCTGTGTGACTGAATATGAATTTGCTACAAACAAGAAAATGCCAAGAGAAATACCTGCATTTATAAAGTTTCCTTTAAAAAAAAGAGTGTTCTAGAAACTACCACAACCTGGAATTAAAGAGAGAAAGGATAATACTATACTCTGTTTTGGTACCACCCAAAATGAATTTGTAAGTTTTATACCGGACAAGAATCATATGTAGCTATGCAATGCAGAATAGAGAAAAGATAAAACTCCCTATACAAAGAAACTGACTAGGTTGGCAATAATTTTCACTTCTATAGCACCTTCCATGCAGGAAACTTTAAACTACATACATTGTTATGGATTTAGGATTCATTCTAACTCAGTGAGGTGTGCTGCCATCAGTAGCCCATTTTTATACATGGTAAAAGAGAGGCAGAGAATTTGCTCCTGATTTTTCTCAGGTCACGTGGCAAGTCAGTGGCAGAGAAGAGTAACAAAGCCAGATCTGTGTGATGGGATTAAAGCAGCCAGATTCTGATTCACCAAACCATATAAACTCACACATTAGGCTTTCGCTGAAATAGGGCCAACAAAGAATGCTGAATGTGCAGATTAGAATGTCTGTGTTCAAGTCTTAGTCAAAGACATCTAGCAGCAACTAATATGAGGAGGTCATTTTTACTTCAATTCTCCAGTCAATATAATGAAGCTATAATGAAGCAGGAAAGGAGTCTTGCTCCCTTCTACTAACAATCCAATTCATAGTAGGGTCACCGGAGGAGCCTAAGCCCCCTCTATCTGCAGAGAGTAGCAACAACAACAGTCTTGCTAAAAACATTTGCAGCTGCCAACTCTTGCTATAAAAATATTAACAGCATAATAGCCTTCTGAGTGCCTTACAGGCCTACATTTTCACAAAATGGTGTGCTTAATTTATAACATGCAATTACAGCACTTCCGGAGGATGCAATTGCAGTGATTATATGTGCACATTTGCCTGAAATTTTAGACTAGAATGTCCTATAAATGCCCAACGTATGTCACTCTTACAATGGTGATATTAACTGCTAATGATGTGTAACATACTGAAACAAATTGTCACTTTTGGTCACCCACAATAGCTTTTGTTATCATAGATTGACACAAAATGGCACCCAAAAATCACTCCCCTTTTCAAAAAGCCACTACAGGAAGTGCCCTACACAGTACATTTTATAATAGTGATACTGCAGAGTTTTGAGCAGTTAATACAGAATTCAGTCTCCATTGTTTATTAAGACTGAGAGGAGGGAGAGAAAAGACCATTGCATCAAATGTCTAGATGCAATTATAAACTCTACTCCCCTTTGCTTCTTTGAAAACTGAGATATAACCAGTATGTGATACTAACCCTACCTCTTCATTGAGCAATGCTGTGAAAGAATCAATTTGCATGCAATATAAATCCACATTCTTATTTTACTATTGCACAAATAGGGAATTTTAATGTAAAATGCATTTCAAATGCTGTATGCTTTGATTGCTCTTTGTAAAAATAATACTTAAATACTGATTTGGAATGAAGTTGTGTGGCTATTTTCTAAATGATAGATGCAATATTGATATGAAAAGTTCCCAAAAACCTTTATATGCTAGTGGATTAACTGGCCTTTCCCCAAGTACTCTATGTATTGAGCATCTTACCATGTTATTAATCAACATGGATTATTTTGGGTAATTCTTATGTTTCTTTTTATTCTGTCTGATACAAAAGGTGAGCAGATTCACTAGCAACTTAAATCACGGAGAATGTAGACATTATTCTGAGATACATTAGCTTATCCTCCAATGAAAATAAGTGATTACCAGACTACACAGTGCAGTAGAGATAGGGGCCTGACTTTCAATGAGAGTTGTGTGCCTAAATCACAAAAGTCCCTCTGAAATTCCCAGTCTGAGGCATTTGGAAGGTGAAATGTCAACATAATTATATTTTATTCTGATGGAGTTTTCTGAAGCTTTTCTTGAAGCCTGCCAGAACCTTACAATGGGGTCTCAACTTTGTTGGGTGACAAAACTGAACTAGAACATCAGCTTTTGCTTGCCCTGTAGTTTTTTTTTTTTTTTTCAAAAGTTTGTTCAAAGAGGTTTGTTTCTAACGATATTTCTGTTTCTTGCTGTCCATCCCCTCTAGGGCTCAGAAAGACAAGTACCAAAATATGGTGAGAGTCTGTTCCTGAGACATTTCTGACCCTTAGAAAGACCTAGAATTCTCACAAAATATCTCTTCTCATAAGATTTCCAGCCCAAATTTTGAAGACTCAAGGAATTTAGATGGGATCTGGAGATGCCTCTGTGTGATTTCCTGAAGAGCATGGACAAATCTTTTGAGGTTCCCAGATCTCCCAGTGGTATCAGGATCTCTGCCTGGGTAAAGACATCCACAGTTAAGGGGAAATCAAATGCTTTCTTGAGCACATATGTGATTCTATGTAAATCTGAACTGTTTGCCAGAATGTTTGCCAATAAAAAAGGAAGTCCCACAACATAATCACAACATGATATCTATCATATGGCTTGCTGGCTGTGGAGCATGTTTTTGCTGTGTAACTGACTGTGTTGGTGTTTTACTACCTAAAATTTGCATATTAGCTAAAAGAAAATGTTCTCTATGGGCTTTATTCAGCAGCTCACAGGATCTATGCCTTCATGTCGCAGCTGAAGTCAATGTTGAACATGACCAGGAAACCTCAGGAGGTGCTGTGTGTCTCAGAAAACTGGTTCTTAAGTTAAACATTTGCATTTTATTCATGAGCATGTAGCCCCTTAGAACTAAAGATGCCTAAACCCCTCTGCGTTTCAAGATAGAATTATAGAGATGCAGGGCTGTAAGAGACCCTGAGAGATCATCATGTCCAGCTCCTTGCTCAGAGGTAGGACCACCCTGACATGTAAATCATTTAGTCACTTTTCTGTAAATTAACAGTGAGATTTTACCCTTAATTTCATGTAAAACAGCCTCACCAAACCTGCAAAATGTCAGAGAAATGATTAAAGAGACAAGACGTACACAAATAAGTAGTGACTTTGGGTGCTCAAAGTGGAACATCATGAAGGGACCTGATTTTCAGCAAGTGGTGAGCACCTGCCCTCTGAAAATCAGACACTTTCTAGGCATCTTCAACTGAGCATGCAAGAACAGACGCACCAGCAACACTCACATTTGAAAATCTTTGCCATATGGCTCCAGTGCAGAGCCACAAAAAAGGAGCACAATTCTAGAAAATACTCTGTTAATAGGGGGAGCATTTTCTGAAATCTTGTTCCTTTGGATTGGGTCATTTATTTTCTTTCAATATGAAGATGGTGTCTGGTTTCATTTACAATCAATACAGAAAATCTACTGTGGTTGGCTAATTTGGGGTCTTCTGAAGATCCGAGCTTCAGTTCAGAAACACTCTCTCCCCTCAAACCTGGATGCTTTTGTTTGAACTGTCTCACATATTCAAAACACTTTGGTCTAAAAATCAAATTGAAAATCTAATGACAATTTCTTCTGTTCACAAATACAGTGAGGACAAACTCAAACAGAAGCAGAAGGGGGCACCTAGCTATGAAAAACCTCCCTCTCGCAATCTTTCACAGGAACAAACGCAGTAGTCATTTCTACTATTGAGATAATTGAACTTTCCTATATTCAAGCACCAAAATTCAATGCTCTGTTTTTGGCATAGCCCTTGGCAATGAAGACACAAACTGTATCTTCCTATAGCACTTTGTGTCCACCACTAGCACACGGCAGCTGAACTGAATCAGGATTAGGGATATGAATTTCATCTACTAAGTAAGTACAAGTCATCAGTAGAAATTACCTTGGCGGATGACTTGGCTGCTTCTTGCAAGGAAGCTACATATGTTGCAACAAGTCGGAGAAGGAGGCACAACAGATGCTAGTGGAATCACAATCCTGAGAAGGCAAGATGGCATGTTGCTAGCAGCTTTGGCTATGGGAGATGAAAGAAGAAGATGCAGCACTTACTGGACCTGCTGCTATTGCCATTGAAGCATCTGCTCTGTTACCCTGATTAAAGAATGTGTTTCCACTTCTACTTCTGCTACTTTCGTGGCATTTTCTCTGCCTCTTTTAAACTGGAAGGAAATCCATAAGGTGCCTAAGCAGGTTCAAATTACTGGGGCACAAAGGACTCAGAGGTAAAGCTTTATCAGCAGGCTCTTAGGGTATACAAGTTAATGATCCATTTAAAAATAAAATCTTGACCACTAGTTAATAAGGCCTCCTGCAGTAAACTCCAGTGTAAATACAAACACTCCAGCAGCATGTAGAGGTCAGTGCAGAGTTGACTGCTTAAGGCAGATAAGTGGGAAGTTTGGATTCTAGTCCTTAGAGCAGAATGCAGCTTCCTAAAATACCATCACTAATTAATTAGAACGTATTTTCTGGCTCACTCCTCAACAATTATCAAGACAGAGAGAAATAGCACATAATCAAAGGCTTTAAAAGGGTCTCCATATATTTTACATTGGTATCACACACATGTTATCTTTAAACTAGTGACCAGAGACAAACTGCCAGAATATAGGGTAAACTAAGAAAAGGAACTGTACATTTTAAGGTGGAGAGAAGCCTTTCTCATTCATCCTCTTTTTTTAATTAGTAGGGCACAATAGGGCAGTTACATCCCTGCATTAATTTAGAGAAGGATGAGGCAGGAACAAAAGCGAAACAGTTTGTAATGCCTCTATTCTGGGGCTACTGGTGTAAATCAGTACTCAGGGCCCACTTGCTGCATTTGGAGAGGAAAAGGTTGCTATAATGGAAAGCAATCAAAGCATTCCTTCTCTCAAGGGCCAGGTACCATTCAAAGAACAAGCAATACTAGTTAGCTGTGTCCAGTATAGTAGAGGATTTAACACTTTCCTGTTGCAGTCTTCACACCAGAGCCATCAGCAGAACTGAAAATGCCCTTATTGTTATGCAAGGGGTCTGCTGCTAGAGGGAGACAAATTCAGCACAAGAGAGTTTGGAGTTATACCAGTGCAACTAAAAACACAACTCAAGATCTTAAATCACTGTAAGTCCACAAAAGCTCAACATCCTTTAAGTCCTTACACTGGATAAGGTTCTAAAAGTGCATTAAGGACCTGATTCAAAGCTCACTCAAGTCAATTACAAATACTCCCATTGATTAGTCTGGCTCTTGAATCAGACTCTAAATCCTGAATGTTTTGAATTTAAAGCAGTAATCTTCCTCTGCCACAGAGCATTTAAAACTGAAGCAGTATAATAAGGGAATGTCATCAGTCATCACCACTTAAAACAAACAACAAAAAAACCTGTCACAATACATACTACATCTGCCCTGTTACTTTGCCATTTTGTCACAAAAAAATTCTTTTCCTGCCTTCCTTTCCTGACTTGGAAAGGAGTTCCTCCTGTTCCTATAAATAGAGGAAACTAAGGTCCAGCACTGCAAACATTGATGTGTGGAACTTTAATGAAGTGAACAACTCCACTGAAGTCAGTGAGCTACACTCATAGATTTAATAATATGCATAAGTGTTTACTGGATTAGGATGCAACTGTGGAGAAACAGTGAAATTGACTATAAACAAAGTACTGTACATGCACAATGTGAACAAATTGAAAAAAGAAACTTTTCCCACTGTTATCTTTTATTATAATCACAGGAGTTACTTTCAAAAATACCAAACAGAAGTGGGATTTTAAAGTTGGTGCTATCCCTTTAAAAGCTTCAGATTCTTAAATTGCTTGAAATGTTCTGAAAAACATGAAGCAGAACAGAGGCTACCAGCTGTCTTAGCAAACAGGAAAGCTGTCAATGAAACCCAGGTTACATCACTATGCCCATGACTCACATTAATCCTCTAACTCATTGAACAGTACTTTTCTACTCTTTTGGGATGGGGTCAGAAGGAAGGTTGGTTTTGTGTAGGTATCATTCCCTGATTATAATTCAGGCAGCATAAACCAACCACCTGCCTTGAAGACACCTCTGCTCATGTTACCCTGAGTTTTATTGGCCTCATTTTAAATTATCTGTATCATTCTCCTATTTTGTACAACCCACATATTTCTTTACTCTTTATTTTATGTATAAATTAGGAGTTAATTTGCAGCTCAGATACTTCTCAACCTGCCAAGCTGAAAATGTGGCAGGCAATGTGTGATAGAATGAAATGAGGCATCCCAAAAAAAGTATTAATGTAGGACACACTGAAAATGCTGTGGGATTCATTCCTTTAGTTTAATTTATCTATAAACTTAGTTTCAAAGTTTTTTTAATTATAATGCAAATAAATCTCAATAAAAATGAGGGAATGGTGGTAGCTTTGAGACTAAACTGAGCACCAGTCATCAGTAGGAGAAACGGTTAAGATTTTTGGTAGTTCTATATGAACTTCCACGCCACACTACTGTCAATGTACCTTATATTTACAGCACTTCCATTGACACAATAGCAGTGTTTGATTCGGTTTAGTTTCTGTGAAGCAAATGAATGGGAACTAGGACAAAAAAGTAGCAACCTCATTTTCTGGCTAATGGTGAATTATAATGTCCCAATTAACTGTCCTCTTAGGGTCTAAGTCAGCATATTTCATTACCCTCATGCAGGCCTCTATCTATAGAGGTGTGTCTAGACTACAGGGTTTTTTGTTTTTTTTTAAGTGGCCATTTTTTGAAAAAACTTCCCCTGCGTCTAGACTGCTGCCATGTTCTTTCAAAAGTAAATCGAAAGAACGCGGCAGTTTTTTTGATCGTGGAAAAACTTATTTTACAAGGAATAACTCCTTCTTTCAAAAGTACTCTTTCAAAAAAAGGCACTATATAATGCAAATTGTGCTTTTTCTAAAGAGAGCATCCAGACTGCCTGGGTGCTCTCTTTCGAAAAAGCAGCTTGCATTTTTGAAAGTACTGGTTGTAGTCTAAACGCTCTTTTTCAAAAGAGGCTTTTTAGAAAGTATCTTTCGAAAAAGCCTCTTTCAAAAGAGCTTGCAGTCTAGACGTAAGCCTAGGTCTTTGGAACTGTAAATAAAAAGTTATCTAAATTAGCTCATTTCCTGATATTTGTGGAAATGTGCTAGCCATATTATTATTTTTTTTACAAAAAAGGGAGGTAGAGAAGGCCAGAATACAGCTGAGGCCAAAGTTATTTAGAATTAGCAGCTAATGGATTGGATTTCTATAGCTATTTTTAATACCTGTACAGTATGATGAAAATGAACCCCAAGAGAATCTCATTTTTGTTTTTCATTAATATCCACTTTGTTAGCATGAACAAATGATTTCTGGGAGCTCCCATTGCCCTTTTTAATTTGTCTCTCTGTACTGTGGAACAGGTATTTTACATTATTAATCTGATTAGTCAATTCTATTTTTCCTCTTGTAGTTGCCTTCCTTATTAGAGAGGCAGGACAGTCTGCTGGACTTGTATGAACAAGACTGAAAAAAGGAGCAGTTTGTAAGAGCCCAAATAACTTCAGAATCACAGGCCTGTTGTACAATTATATGCTTTATTCTCTTAAACTTCTAGGGACAATATCAAGGTGGCCACTATTGCAATAATTAGCGGTATCCAGGCACTGAACAGTTCTCTGGAACTAGAAGTGGAGATGCCAAAAGTACCAATTTCCACAGCTAAAACCAGAGCTGAAGTTGCTCGGCTCCGAGAATAACCTGAGCTGACCTTAGAGCAGTGGTTACCAACCAGTAGATTGTAATCTACCGGTAGATCTTGGAGCCTCTGACAGGGGATCCTGACAGGTTTAGTCAGGAAGTTATAAAGTGCTGGCACTTCAGTTTCCCCTTTCATACTGCTCCTGCCCTCTGCCTTGTAGCTATCCCACCCCCCCGGGAACCTCCTGCTTGCTGTGTAGGGTGTGGGAGGAAGTGGGGGGCTGATGTCGGGGTGTCCTTCCTCCCCTCCACTCCTGTACCCTATCTCCACCCAGAGAGAAGGGCATGGAGGTAGCTTGGCAATGCAAATGTAGTTCCTTACTAAAGGTGCCTCTGACTTTTTCTGAAAGGATCCTGTATGCTGCAATCTAGCCCTAGAGACTACAAATCCCATGAGCAGTTGAGGAAACCAGGAAGAGAGGGCTTGTCCAGGCATGTTGAGAAAGGGGCTCAGCAGTCTGGAGCTCTCCATTTTGGGAGAGGGGAGCCAGGCTGCTGTGGAAGAACCTTATATATATATCCAGTCCTGGAGCTGTTGTATTGCAGCTACAGCCTGGGACTGAAAGTCTTAGGTGTTTGGATCTAGCAGGCTGCTTGAGGGGCTGCTGATTGCCCTAGAGGGGAGAGACTCTGGCTGTGCCTGTGGCTGGGAAAGACTACACAAAAACCAGCACACAGGAGGAGACTGTAAGTAAATGGGCTGTTTGGGAAAGTGCTGCCTAGGACAGACCACAAAGATATGGACTAACTCCGGGTCCAAAGAGAGGCAGAGTGTCCAGCCCAGTGAACCGGAGCTTCTGGCATTTGGTGGAGCCCTCTCCAGTGGCACAGGGAGTTACTCCTCGTGGAATGAGGAGTAAGGGAAGTTCGAATTAGGATCTTTAATTTGAACTACCTACTCTGTGCCGCGTGTAGCCATGGACACGGAGTTCGGATTAAGGGGGATTTAAAAATGGCAGCGCCCGGGAACATGCAAATGAAGCCCGGGATATGTAAATCCCAGGCTTCATTTGCAACTCCGCTTGCCCTCATTTCCCTACCTAGCTCAAACTAACGAGCTAGTGTAGACGTACCCTGTGAGCCAGGGACTGCAGCAAAGTGGTGGATAAGGAATCTCCAACTAAACATCACCACCACTGGGGTACTCAGGATCTCCTTTTATGTTAAAACACTCAGGCACACCTGTGAGTGTGACCTGCTCCTGAGTAACCCGGGTAGGAAAAAGGGTGAGCTGTCTGTCACACTCACAAACTGTGTATCTCTCTCTCTCTCTCTCTCTCTCTCTCTCACACACACACACACACACACACACACACACACACACACACACACTCCTTCACTCATCTACTACCGACCCAACACACATGTGGGGGGGTTGTTGTTACTTCTTTTACTGCTTGTAAAGTGGGTTATTTTGTGGGTTGATTGGTCTGATTATTTCATAACTTTCATTTCTCTCTCATGCTTAAATGTAATTCTTTGAGTAGTGAGTTCTAAAATGCCTAAGTTGTCCTGGCTGGAGTAATTATCCCTACGGTAATTGCTGCTTCTGGAAGTGGCTGGCATGTCCTTGCAGCCCCGAGAAAAGAAGAGCAGGAGGTCCCCACATACTGTCCTTGCCTGCAGACACTGCTCCTGCAGCTCCTATTGATCAATAAGGAGGAACTGTGGCCAGTAGAGGCTGTGGGCTCAGTTCCTGTCGATGAGGGTCAGCACATGGTGCCATCGAGCAATTGCTCTACATGCCATCTGCTTTCAGGAGGGGTGCAGGTGCAGGGCAGGAGTAAGCCTGCCTTACCCCCACTGGTCCAACCACCAGGAAGCTGTCTCAGTTAAATGGTGACCAGCCAGAGCCTGCTTCCTGAACCCTTTATCTCCTCCTGTACCCAATCTCCTGCCCCAGACATGAGTCCCCCTATACGCAAATGCCTTCCTACAGCTTGCACCCTGAAGCCCATCCTGGACTCCAATTTCCCACCCTGGGCTAAGCCCGGAGCCCCTTCTACACTCCAAACCCCTTGGCCCAAGACCAGAGCCTGCACCCCAACCCCCTACCTCAGCCTGGTGAAAGTGAGTGAGGATGGTGGAGAAAAGGGAATGGAGAGAGGAGGGTGAGGCCTCAGAGAAGAGATGGAGCAGGGGCAGAGCCTCAAAGAAGAGGCAGAAAGGAAGCCGGGCAAGGGTATTTAGGTTTGAGATAGATCTTACATTGCACTAAAACTGAAAAAAATGATCTTGTGGTTAAAAACATTGGAGGCACTGCCTTAGAGAAAGCTCTTTTCCCTCAGGCAGCAGTTAGTGCTAGTGTGGGGAGAAGTCTTTGGGAGCCGATGGACAGGATCTTATTTTCAACAGGGGCCATCACTATAAGCAGCACCCACTTTTCTTCAGGAAGAGGATACTTTGCCAGCTTCGTTAGAAGACACACAAAGGCAGAAGCTCCAACAGCATGGGCCACTTTGGAAACCTTTTTTGCAGGCTTCCTTACCAATGACTCCTGAATTTGACAGGGTATCCTGGCAGCCTCAAGTAAAAGGCTTAGGAAAGTAGGATAAGGGATACCCTGAAAGTAGGGAGGTGGGGGTGGGTTCTGGAGTGGCTTAAGGGATAAGGCATTCTCTTGGTGAGTACAGGGCGGCAGACCACTGAGAAATTAGAGGGATGCAGGAGTGAAAGACTAATGGAGTCTTTTTTGAGCATTTCAAATATGGTGAGAAAAATAATTATTGCTTTTATTTAATTCATTTCTGCCGCTTGGTATTGAATCCAATGGGTTTTTCATGGTCACACAATTATGTTAGAGCAGAAGTTCTGGCAACAGCAAAAAGGAGATCAAGTTGCAGTTTGTTTATAGTTTAACTACTCAGAGCCCAGAGATACCATGAAATGGCTAAGGTTTCTTATCATTGCTTTTCTGACCTTGCTAGGGTCTTCACACCTCAGATCTCAGCAGCACACCTAACATCTTTCTATGGTCTAGTCATTGGTCCTACCTGGTCTTAAGGAAAATAAGCTAAGGCAAATATCCTTTAGAGTGCAATTGGTTTGGAAGGAAGTATGTTTTGGAAATGTCTGTATCAACTGTGGTTTAATAGTTCTAAAACATTAACTACTACCGAGAATGGCTTAACTGAAATGGTCAAAGTTATAAAGTCATTATCCTTTAGCAGCTTCACTTGAGGAAAATTTGCATTTCTATCTAATGGAAATCAGAGTCAGATAATTCAATGGGTACAATGTCTCATTTCATTTTTAATTTGTTGTCTCTTTTGTCTAGATTTCATTTGTTTAATCTGAAGTTAGAAGCTGATTTTTTTTAAAGAAAAAGTGGAAAAGGTGTAGGAGTAGTTAGTAGTAACTCAATTTTCTGCAGTAATGTTTGTCAGACCATAAAAAGATTAACATAGGCTTTTTTTTTAAGTGACATTTTCCAAATTGTCCCAAAAGAAGGTTAGGTTTTAAAACATTTCTGTTAATTTGACTAGTGAGTTCATGAATGATCTCCACTTATAAAAAATAAAAGCAATGTATGAAACATGAGAAGCTGCCTTAGTCTTGTGCCTTTTGCTCTTAAAATATAATGTCACAAATATCCAATTACAAATGAGAAGACGATCTGAGCAACTCCTCCTTCAAGACATAACCAACACCTAGTTACACCTTTGGAAACCTCCACAGATTTTTAAGATAGGAAGGGACTATTAGATTATCTACTCTGACCTCCTGTATATCACAGGCCCTGTAATTTCACTCCTTAAGTCCAAACACTTGTGTTGGACTAGCCCTGCTTTGATGATCTGCCATCAAGAGACAAAATGATGTTTGGGAGCTTCCAGATAATCCTGAAGAACAGTAATGTTATATCTTTGTACCAGTTCATTGATGGCCTGGTGAAATAGAGCTACCATATTTTAACTACTACTGCCAATGGTATGGTGCCAGGTCCCCTTCCCGTGTAGTCACCCAAATGCTTCAGGTTTAGGAACTAACTTTCCTTATGGGCATCATTGTCCACAAGAGTTAGTAGCTGGTGATAGAGGCAGGATACTGGCAGGGCCAGACTAAGGTGTGGGTGAGCCGGGCAGCTGCCCAGAGCGCCAACCGATGGGGGGGGGCGCCTGATGGCAGCTGTAAGGGGCACCGTGTGCCCAGCTCCCCCCGCACTGGCCCCCCCATCTCCACGGCGCCGGCCAGCAGCATCCTTCCCCCTACAGCCGTGGGGCCCTGCATGGCCAGGCGCTGCACGCCAGCAGCGGTGACTGGACCAGGCTGGGCAACGCATGTGCCGTGCGTCCCGGGGCCGGGCCCCGGGCTGCGCACCAGTGGCTGGGCAGCACATGCACCGTGCGCGGGCCCACGCATGTCCATGTGCCCCAGGTGTGGACCTGTGCTCCCTGGGGGGGGGGCATGCCCCAGGGGTGGGCCCGTGCATGCGCTGTGTGCCCGGGGGCAGCACCACGCACCTGGGTCTGGGGCACCAAAATGGCTCAGGCTGGTCCTGGATACTGGAACAGATGGAGTACTCTCCTAATTCAGTATGGTAACTTCTATGAACCTAGCTCACTACAGGTTTACAGCTAGCCTACAATTGATAAGAAATCAGAGAAGAAAGTTAGCACACTAGTGCTGGAGGATGCAAGCTTCATCTAAGTGAGACAAACTAGGTATTTTTAATATTCCTAGCCCAGGACTAGGGTAGAGGCTAATGTACAAATGATCAGAAATGGCAAATATTACAACTAGGAGAAATTAGTGCTGAAGTTATTCCCCTGTTCTGCTACATAGAAAACACAGATATTTGTGAAGCATGTTACTTAAAGTCAGCTCTCTTTGTAGAAAAGAATGGCACCACCATGGATGTTCAGCTTAGGTGTATCTCCTGCTAGTAAGAACATCCTTTAGGAGCTTTTTAGCAGGATTAATTCTGAACTATGGAGATTATAATTCAGCTCTCATTCACTTTTCTATCCTCATTTGTAAAGCAGCTCTGAGATGTATCTAGAACTACTTTGCAACAATTCAAATAATTGGAAATTGTGGAAAATTATTATACCTGCACTCAGGTGCCAAGATCTGTATGAAATACTTGGCTGCCCAAAGTGTGTGGAAAAAATGCTTCAATTAGGCATTAAAGAATTTCTCCCCCATTTTTGTCTAACAGCAGCCATGCTTTTGCTGTGAATGGTCATTATTACATACAGAAATAGGAACATAAATTTACCAATAATGAAAATGTCAGTTGAAGGCGCAGTCTATCATACTGCGTGCTGAGATGGTCAGACCTTTTTTTGCTGTCTTGTATCTTTGCTTTGTCTCTGAAAGACTAACATACAAAAAGAAAGAATGCTTTATTTATAGATACCGGTGAAACATCCTTTTCAATATACTAGGAATGATTTTGAGTATTTCAGGAAATTTTGGATAGATTTCAAAATTACTCTTTTTACTTATCATACACCGCAGTATCTTTACCAAAAGAAACTCCCAGATCTTGTCACTCTATGGATTGATATTTTGATATTCTAAATTGAATTTCTTGGTCCCTCTTAGCTATTCTTGGCAGCTTTATGATGCAAGAGTTTTCAGCCGATATGCTTACTATCTCTGGAGCACTATTCCACCCATACTCAGCATCACTAGACTTCTATTCCGCCTCAAATCTGTCACAATTTTAAAATCTGGGTAGAAAATTATCCTTTGATGCAACTTTTACTGCTTAATGAATTTCATGTTTTGGTTATAAGTTCCACTGGCATTTCACTTGCTGATTAGTTTTATTAGTTAAAGCACTTTAGCACATTGCATGAAAGGTACTATTAAAATTGAACCAGTATACCATAGACTTTTATAGTAAAGTCTTACATTGCTTTAATATTCACTAAATCATTACATAATAAAATTATATAGGAAGAGAGATAGTTATGAATAATTCCTTTGGGGGGAAATCTTCATTTTACGATTGTTGCTCATTCATTACTCCTTTTTGGTAAAATAATCAAAAGTATAAGGCAAATGTTTGATGTTCTCTTTCAAGAGAAGGCAAAATTCACTACACACACATAGAACTCGGGAAAAACATGAAATTCTCTGAGAGTGTAGCCAAAGGTAATCTTGCTATTCTCCTGAATGAGGTTGCAATTAAAATATAGTTTTCAACCTTTGCTTTGACCGTGGGCAAATATAGCATCTTTCTTTATTCCTATTTGATTTATGTGCAACTGCACACTTGCCTACATCTTAAAAGAAGTACCTGTATGCATCAGTGTAGAACAAATTGCCAGTTTTTCTTCTTAATCAGGCATACAATACACATCTCAACTCATGTTTAAAAGATTAGCAGTAAAACTGTATTGCTGCATACATATCTATTTTTTCCAGAAATAACTAGTATTCTTCTAATACAGGGTCTTTTTTTGATACCACTTGTAGCAGATACGAAAATATCCCTGAACTAAGTCAAAATGGCCAATGTGACTCTTTTCTTTACATGGCCCAATATATCAACACCAGCCTTGAAGATCATCTATAGCAGTGTTTCTCAATCAGTGGTACTGGTACCCTTAGGGATACCTGAGAGAAATATGGGGGATATGTCATCACAACTTAAATTTGGAGAAAACTGAATTTTTGTTTTAAGTTTTATAGCACTTTATTATTTTTGTACTTATTACACGCAAAAATTTCATCGCCCGCCCGGCTACGATTAAGTTGTTTAAACAAATGCGTTGCAATGGTAGAAAAATATTGTGTGTCTGAAAACTGTAGCTACTGGGGGTACTTATAATTTTTTTTTTAAAAAAAGGGGTACTTTATATAAAAAAAGTTGAGAAACACTGATATATACTGGAAATAAAATTCACTCTACTGTGAATTAAATCAATGGACCTCAGATTGATGAAGGTATTATTATCTCAATTTGGGAGCTTATGGTTTTTGAGATGAAAACATCTGTCCACTGGAAATTGGTTTGTTTACAGATATTACACAACAATCAACAGGTAACAAATTTCAGTCACTATCTACCTCACTTAGATTTGGCTGCTGCCTAGAATTGAAAGACTCATATTTCATCACCTGAGAAATCCCCAAAACTCATGTTCATTATAAACCAGAGGTCAATTAAAGAGCAGACTCCCTGTGTTAATGGTAACTTCTTTAATGATTAGTTTGTCTAAAATCAAAACGATGCATCAGCTGTCTTATGTCATTAGAGTAGATGTGTCCTATTCCTATAGACAGATATATCCGCTACTGATTGAATGTAACTCCATTCCCAAATCAGGAAATGCAAAAGATACTGTGATACTTACGTGAGTAATCATAAATAGCCAGTGTAATGCAAATTTAAAGCACGGAATACTCAAACAGCTATTCACAAATCAATCCACAGATTTTTCTTAACAACATTTTAATAAAATTTAAGGAAATTGAAATCTGCTTGTGGAAACTGAGCAAGTTATATTCTGCTAATTATTCAGCGAGCTCAAACTTAATGGAACATCATTCCGTACCATTTTTAGCAAAACTTGTTATGCTTATTTTTTTGCTATTTAAAGGTTCTAGTCAGAATTTATTCTGATATCACCTACCCACCTTATTTACATCCACTCTGATACTATCATGTGCAATTTAGTGGTAGGTAGCAATTTCTGGCTCAGTATAAAACTATTTAGAAATGTAACAGGGAAATTGAAAGATGTAATAAAATATACTAATACAGGGGGTTAAGTTAATTCACTTCCTTATCTTCTTGTTACATATTGATGTATTTCAAGCCATTCAAAAAATCTAAGTTGTCTTCCATGTGTGCATATCAGATTATAGACAATGAAAGCAATTTAACAGGTTATTTAAATGCTACAATGTAGTAAAATCTGAGGATCTGTTTCTTTACTTGCTTTAGCATCAGAATATTCTGCTTTCGTTTGAAAGTGAACACAGATGTTTCCTATTTATTTTGAAAGATTAAAAATTGATACATATCTAGACATGAGTGTTGACACTGGAATATGATGCTTTCCTCTGATTTTGAGGCACTTCTTCAATCCTTACCTTTTAGATCATAATCCAAGGCATTGCATCTGTGACACCTAGCTTTATGAATAGCAAGGCAAAAGCCTTGTTTGCTTATACAATGTCCCATGTAGAGAGCCCCTTGTTTTGAGAGAATTCTATGGATATTTTGGTTATTTTTATGAGTGAGAAACTATTATTTTTAAAATGAGTTCTCTTTGAGAATGCCTACAGTCCTCACTGTTTGTGTTGTTTTTTACCTAGTTCCTTTTAAAGCATTTTACTCATGCTTTTTGTAGTGTAGGTGCTGCAATGGTAAGGCAGTTGGCATGTTTCACTAACTTACAACAAATTCCTTTTTTTGTGGCCAGTACAAGGGAATTAAAAGGTGATTGTTGTAAGTGAAATTGTGATTTCATTGCAGAAAGCATGAGCACCTCTTAATTCCCTAATCAGGACTTAAACTCACAGGAACAAACACTCAAGTGATGTCTTACATTGCTACAACATGTGTAGCCTACTCATGTAATTGCTTGTTTAAACACTCACAAATTGTTCTCGCAATTCAAAACAGACTCTTGAATTTTGCACTCGAAAGAGCATGCATTTGGGACAAGCTGATGGCAAAAGAGTCATTGACCTTCTACCCCAAAGTATGGTTCATAAGGCAAATGTTGGTGTAATATACTTCTGTAGCATTCTGTCAGGCATTTCACTTGATACCACATAGTATTTTAATTAATACCTAGAATAACAAAATTAATATAGTGCATATTAAATATATTAACAACAGTATAACTAATATGCTTCAATATGAAATTGCAAGCAGGGACTTATCTTAAGAACATAAGAATGTCCATACTGAGTCAGACCAAAGGATACTGGGCTAGATGGACCTGTCTTACAACAGTGGCCAGTGACAGATACCCCAGACGGAATGAACAGAACAGGTAATCTCATGTGATACCTCTTCTGTCACCCAATTCTAGCCTCTGACAAATACCTAGAATAACAAAATTAATATAGTGCATATTAAATATATTAACAACAGTATAACTAATATGCTTCAATATGAAATTGCAAGCAGGGACTTATCTTAAGAACATAAGAATGTCCATACTGAGTCAGACCAAAGGATACTGGGCTAGATGGACCTGTCTTACAACAGTGGCCAGTGACAGATACCCCAGACGGAATGAACAGAACAGGTAATCTCATGTGATACCTCTTCTGTCACCCAATTCTAGCCTCTGACAAAATTCCTACCGATTCTGGCTAATAAGTATTTAGAGTTTCGAGGCCCCAGCCTAACCCCAGGCCCTCGACGTATCTAACTTCTCATCTACAGGGTCACACTGAAACCAAAAGAATATATGAAAATGAGATTTATTTATTAACAATTAAGTCATTATACCAATAGCCTGTATATATACTCTTCATTTTAGGAATGCTTTTCTGGCTTTGTGGGGTGCAAACTCGTTTATAATTGAAGAAAAGTCTAATTTACATGTAACACCACTGTTAATGTTAAGCGTTGTCCCATTGTAGAACAATCATAGTTCTTTATTAGTTTTAATACATTGAGGGTATGTCTACACTGCCACCCTAGTTCAAACTAGGGTGGCTAATGTAGGCATTCGAAGTTGCAAATGAAGCCCGGGATTTAAATATCCCGGGCTTCATTTGCATCTTGACGGGTGCTACCATTTTTAAATCCCCGTTAGTGCGGACTACGTGCCCGTAGCTACATGCGGCATGGAGTAGGTAGTTCGAATTAGGCTCTCTAATTCGAACTACCGGTACACCTCGTTCTAAAAATGGCGGCACCTGGCAAGATGCAAATGAAACCCGGGATATTTAAATCCAGAGCTTCATTTGCAACTTCGAATGCCTACATTAGCCACCCTAGTTCGAACTAGGGTGGCAGTGTAGATATACCCTGAATGTTAATTCACCCGAAGCCACTGATGCAGATAGACTGACAAAAATACGTATTGCAATTATAATATTAGGAAATACAGTCAACAGGCCAAGATAGAATATTTCTTGTGGCAGTTCTTTTGGCTAGCAATCCAATTTAAAGTTGGTAGAATATATAAGTTTCAGGAAGACGATCTCATCACAGTGGTCTCTTGAAATTTTGTTGTTGTACGTTTGCTGAATATAGATTTTCATCACTTAGTTCTCTGAACTCCCAAATGAATCCAAAAAGTGTGACAGTGACTCAAATCATTCTGTAAAACCGGATTTGATGGAGTCAATAATAACAAAACAAAACAAAAAAATTGACTCAATAATGCCTTTCTGCATCAAATTGAGTAATTAGGTGGAAAAAACTTTTACATGAAATATCAATACCCTGTGCTAGTGATTTGGGCACAGAAAGGATTGTGTCCCATTGATCACAAATCTTTTGAATATCTTTAAGGAGTTGTTAAACGTTAACCCTCTCAACATATAATGTAGTATTGAATGCTTTTGTCAGGGCTGTTGCTCACTCTGGCACTCCAAGTGCAGAAGTTGGGGGCCTTCAAAAGACCTTAAATACCTTGCCTCTACAGGCTCTGCTTACAAAAACTCCCCAGAGTCATAGATTCACTGCTCCTGAGACATAGGCTGCCACCACAAGTGAATTAAATAAACACTGAAAACCAGGAAGAAACACTAGAACTTCTTCAAGGGATACCCCAAGCAAGTTTGAAAAAAGAAACAAACAAAAAATAACCCAACAGAAAACAAGCTGTCTCTCTCATAACTGAGCTCTCAGGCTAGGCAGGCATACACATAGACCTCCTGTTATTTTCCAGGACACAAGAATCAAATCATCGCCTTAAAAATGTGTTTTTTATTAACAAAACAAAAAGGTATATTTGATAAAACATATTTACTTGCTAAGTGTTACAGAGCAACTAAGAAAACAACAGATCAAAACACAAAGGAACAGTCTATTTGGTTGCAGCTTAAATATGGTGAATGGGGGATGAAAGCACATGGAATTCACACAGACAAGCTTAACCAAACAGCAAAAATAAAGAAAAAATACCCTGATCATGACTAAACACACATTCCTCTATCAACTCACGATCTGTACTGATCTGTACTTCCAGGCCCAGTCCATTCCCATGCCTAGCTTTTCTTGTAGGCATGGTTATTTGGTTTAACTACTTCATCTTGCTTCCTCCAGCTGATAACTTAGAACTCACCCGAAGGAAGAGTTCTATAGTCAATTTAAATTTCAACTGTCTTTCCCACTGGCTTTCTGCCAACACCCTTTAGCTACCTAAGTTTAACCCTTTAGTCATCAACTGCTGGTCAGCACTATTCCTGTCCATCACAGCTTCAATTACAAGATTAGATTCGTGGATCATTTTAAGCAGCTTCATCCACATGCACAACATTGAATTTCATTCAAATTTGGATGTATACTTCTGAAATTACTTAAGCTCAGCGTGAGCCTGTGCTGTGAGAGTAAGAGATTCAAGATCACCTAAAGCCTTTCTCATAGAGTCCAGATGTGGTGCAACTGGTTTAATGCCATCAATTCATGCTAACCATCTCATTGTCAATGTGCCATGAAGGGAAATAGGCAGATGCTATTTCAGAATTTCCCACTTTAGAAGACTGCTACTGAAGAGGTTGTACAATTGCTGGATTGTTCCAAAGTATGTGATTGTGCTGAATCATGCAAGAAAGCAATCAATGCTGACAACATTTAGTGTGTGGTTGCCACAACTGGAGAAAAATTCAGTTTGGAATTTACTCAAGAAGGACTGCTTGTACTCTGTTGTACTTCCCAGCCATATTGGATCTATTGTAATAGTCTTGGTCAATGCAGACTTGAAAATTTAATTTGAAGCCTTCCAGAATTTCTCTTACACAAGCAGAGATTTCTTTTCCATTTTTTTCATGAAATTATTGAACAAAATGAATCATTCTTCAATTGAAACCTTTGAACTTCCTGCAATTTTAACATATCGAACAACCACAGGTGTGTTCTTTATGAGAACACTCTAGAGTTGAATCAATAATAATTGAAAAGTAGGTCTGTCAATTGACCTGCCATAATCACAGGCATTATCACAGGTCAGTTGACAGCCTTACACATTAATCTTTTTAATGCATTAATTGCAGGCGCTAATGCTGCACTACCCCTTTGAAGAGCTGCTCCAGCACTTCAAAGGGGCAGCGCAAGCGGAGCTGGGGATCACTCAGAGTGCTCAGCTGATCCATGGCTCCGCGTTGCAAAGTAGAGTGGCTAGATGGAAAGAGCCACCAATTGATCTAGGTGCTCAGGAGGACTCCCTGGGCTAACAGCTTTATTTACAAAAGAGAAAAAACACACTTAAAGCTCAGATATTAGTTCCAAATTCCTAAATCAGGAAAACAAAAAATCCTGATGGACCATCTAAACTTTGCCATACTTACACATTGTAAGAAGTCCGTTCTTGGAGAGAGAAGTTCCACCCTTTTCCCACAGTCTTAGAAGAGATCACTGTGCTTTTCAGACAAAGGAGGGAAAGATAAAAACTCCTCTTTCCTAATTTAAAATTCCTCCCTGTATTGTTATTGGCTGACCACCAGATACCTGCCTAGGTGAAGACATTAGTTAACCCCTTAGTCCCCAGGTGCTGGTCAGCTCTCCTGGTTATGATACCTCTAAACTATGCAAAGACTGTAAACAGCATTTCATAACATAGTATCACTAATCACAGAAGCTACTCCAGTCTCCAGGTATGCAAATGAAAGCTTGGATGTGACTGAAAAATTGGCAAAGGCCTGAGGTCCCACAATGATTTAATCAATTTTTTGCAGGTCTGTAGAGCTCCTTTCGTTGTCACTGTTATAACTACAGGGTGTATAAAAATGGAAATGACTTGGTAGAAAAATGTCAAAATTTGGGACCCCCTTATCTCCTGGGGCCCAGGCCAAATTGCAAAAAAGCCCCGATCACCATTTTCGTGATCAGGGCTTTTTTGCGGAAAACAAATCTGAGCTGTCTACGCTGGCCCTTTTGCGCAAAACTTTTGCACAAAAGGACTTTTGCCTGAACAGGAGCAGCATAGTATTTCCGCAAGAAGCACTGATTTCTTACAGTAAGAAGTCAGTGCTTTTGCAGAAATTCAAGTGGCCAGTGTAGACAGCTGGCAAGTTTTTCCGGAAAAGCGGTCGATTTTCTGGAAGAACTGGTCAGTCTAGACACAGCCTCTTTGTATGGCACCCATTCTAAACCCCTAATCATTTTTGTTGGCACACCTATCTTCAAGTATGTGTGTTTCCAGTGGGGTCCTGCACTGATTGCCTTACAGTATTTAACATGTTTATCAGTGGCCTGGCTGAACATGTGAAATCCCTGATCAAGTTTGTAGAAGACAAAGATTTTTGAGAAGATAAATAATGAAGAGGACAGGTCACTGAAACTGAGCAATCTGAATCACTGGATAAGTAAACAAAATACATTTCAATATGGCTAAATGTAAAGTAACAAATCTGGGAATAAAGAATGTAGGACATACATGAAAGCAGGAAGTCTAAAGAATTGCGGTCATGGTTTATAATCAGCTGAACATGATCTCCTAGGGCAACACTGTGACCAAAGGTTAATGCGGTCCTTGAATATGTAAAGCAGAAGTAAGAAGGTCATATTATTTTTGTATTTTGCATTGTTCCATCTGCTACTGATATAGTGTGTTCAGTTCTGGTGCCCACAACTCAAGATGCACATTGATAAGTTTGAGAGGAAAGGGTTCAGAGGAAAGCCACATGAACAATTAAAGGATTGGAAAAAAAAGTCTTATTGTGATAAAAACAAATCAAATTAGACTAAAGGAGAGCAAAGAGAAGGTTATGGGGTGATTTGATCACAATACACAAGTACCTACATGGAGAACAGACATTTGAACGGAAATAGATACCAGGACAGCTCATGGGCGGCACAACAGGTCACATGTCCCCAATGCTATGGGGTGAAGGGCAAAGGGCCAGCAGGAAGAGCCATACTGGGCCTTGCACTTGCAGGGCCCTGCAAGTCCTAGTGGGGGACCTGGTGCCATCAGCAGAAGTCATCCCCCCACACTCACCCATGGCAACAGGAAGTAGAGTGACATGGCCCTAGCCTAGTCGGCTATTCCAGCTTCCTCTCAAGTTGCTCCACTTTCTGCCATTGGTGAGTGCGGGGGGCAGTTTCACCCATTTCCCAGGGGGACTAACAGGGGCTCCCCCACACTCATGAAAAGGAATGAGGAAGGGGGAAGACTGCAGACAGGAAGAGGGCAGAGCAAGGACAGAGCAGGACCAGGGTCTGAAGTGTAGTGGGGGCAGGCAGGGTCCAGAAGAGGAGGAAAAGGAAGCGCAACCTCCCTCTCCCCACTATGGGTGATGTGAGGAGGAGTCACATGGGGGTTGTCACATGATCAATGCTCCCATTGTGTCCCTCTCACAGGGTGAGTACTCCCAGCCCCCTGGGGACAGGGAAGTGGGCCTTTAAGGCCCTTAAAGAGTGCTCCATCTCATGCACATCTCAGTCCCTTTGGCTCAGCCAATCACTACACCCCATTTCCACTGAGGTAGTTTAAAACAACTTTTCTTGAAGGGGAGCGGGGCCCAGAAGCCAGGGTCCATCCCCACTCCTTTCTCTCAGGGCAATAAGGCCTAGCAGCCTGAGTCAGTATCAACACTTCCTGTTCTCAGGGCAATTAGGCCCAGCGGTCACAGTCATTAATCACTGCTATAGTGCCCCCTTGAGGCTAGTGGAGGTGAGGTAAAGAGACTAGGCCCTCCCGCTTCACTGAGTCCTAGCCCAAGGTATTGTCAGTTGTGGGTGTGTCCCCCTATTAGATCAGCAGAGAATCTACCAGAAACACGCTGAGCTGTTGGGGATGTTTCTCCTCTCTCTGGGCTATTTCCTACTAGACTCATAACATTCGGCTTCTTCTCCACTTGGCCCTGGATTCAGAGCTTCTCTGGCCATTCCCTACTGATTGGCATCCTCAGTTCAGTCCTTCCACAGCTCTTCCTCCAGAGCTCTGGCATCACCTCCTTTCTCTGCGGTGGTCAGCTCTGACTGAGCTGTTCCACTGGCTTATCCCCAAGCTGGAGCATGCCCAGCAGGGCTGTGGGGGTGGGGCTCTCTCAGCCAGGTAAACCTGGTTAACCCTTGCTGGTCCAGTGAGGGGATGGTACATCCTGTCATAGACCCTTCCAACAGTCATCACTGAATAGATCAGTGTTTCTCAAAGTGGGCTGGAGGCCCACTCTCAAAAAGCTTCTAATGGGCTGCTCTGGTTTGTTTACTTACCAGCCCCACAGCCACAGAGCCTCACAGCTCCCCTTGGCTCCGGTTCGCTGTTTGCAGTCAATGGGAGTCCATGTCTGTGAAGCTTGTAAGTAAGCAAACCTGAGCGACTCATTAGCAACTTTCTTAAGAGTGGGCCCACGGCCCACTTTGGGAAAAAAAACTGGAATAGAGGGCTCTTCAATCTAACTGATAAAGGTATAATAAGATCCAATGGCCAGAGGCTGAAGTTAGACAAATTCCATCTTTCGAGCGATTATTACTTGTCCTGAAAGGGTAAATACACATCTTCTGTGGCAGTAGGATGCTCAAATTTTGCAATCCCAATCCCTGACTACTAAGAATTGAGCACATCTTGAATCGCATGGGAATTTTGCTGACTCAACAATGCAGATTATGTCCCACTTAACTGGTCAGAGCACTAGCTCTTGTGTACAGTTTAAGTATTGCTTTGCCTTTGGGTGCCTACCACTTCTGCACTGCCTCTGGCAGGCACAGTGCCTCACGCAGCTCCCACTGCCCACAGCCACAGTGTCCCTAGCAATGGCTGTAGAGGCTGCTTGTGAGACAATCTGCCCTCTGAAGGGAGGGGAGTTCTGGTTTCAGCAGTGGCCTCCAGCAGTCCTTGTACTCAAGACAATGCAGTTGTGCATGGCTGTGGCTGCTTCCTCCTTTTTGTGTGCCTGTTTAGAGATTGAGCACAGCCTGACAAATGCTGTTAGTTGCCACAGGATGTTGAAATCCTAATTCAACACTGCACATAGCTAAGGTTTTTTAAGCCTTTTCATTATAAAACTCCAATTTCAGTTGTTTCTAACTTTATCAGGCTCAAAGCATGTGGGCTGAAGTTGCCCATTTGCCAAAATCTGACTTTCAAAAAGACAGTTT